TGTAGCCCGTTCGGGCCAGGTGCCTTTAGAGGCTTAAAGGAGAATAGTGCTTCCTTAATTTCACCCTCAGAGGGTTCCCTGATGAGAAGAGCATGTTCTTGAGGGATAATTGAGGCATGTGCCGGCATGTACAGGTTGTTCATATAGGAGATAGTATGCTCCATGGTGTATAAGTTTTTGTAAAAATCCGCTATAATGGAGTTTAATTCCTTGGGATTATGAAACCAATTTCATGCCTCGTCTCTGAGACTAAAGATCCTATTCTTCCTTCTTCTTTGCATGGTTGTGAGGTGGAAAAACTTTGTATTAGCATCTCCTTCTTGTATCCAGTGAATTCTTGATTTTAATTTCCAGAATTCTTCCTCAAGTTTGAGGATTTTTTGGTATTCTCCTATGAGCTCACATTCTAGGTTAGACAGAAAGCCACTAGTCGTGTACTTAGGGGATTTTTGAATTCCGTCTAACCTAGCAAGGATTTTATTCTTTTTTTGAATATATTTCCAAAAGTATCTTTATTCCAAGAAATGGCCTTGTTAGTGAAGTTATCAATAGCAGCCGATATATTTAGCTGGTTGATCCAGGAATCCTTCACTAGCCCCTTAAAGGTGGGGTGGATAGCCACATAGTCTCCAGTCTAAAAATATTATTATTTCTACTAGGTCTTTTAATGAGTTCTAGTTGGATGGGGCAATGGTCAGAGTGTGTTCTTGTTAGGTGTTTTACGCACGCCTCTTGAAAGATATTGATCCAATCTCCGTTGGCTACGAATCTATCTAGTCTTTCCATGATAAAGGTGTTCTTATTTTTTTTTTTTTATCTTTTGTTAGTCCAAGTATATATGGGACCTTTAAAACCTAAGTCTAGTAGCTTGCAACAGTCGAGGCAATCAATAAACCTAGATATTCTGTTATTGTTAACGGGTAAGCCCTCGAATTTCTCACTAGCCCTAATAACTTCATTAAAGTCTCTTATTACTAGCCAAGGACCTCTATAGTTGTTTGCAACAATTTTTAGGTTATTCCAAAGGATTAATCTTTCCTCTAGTAAACTACTAGCATATATAACTGAGCAAAGCCATACTTTAGGGAGAATTTTTACCTTAACCATTGCGTGAATCTCTTGGTATGTCCCCCCTATTTGATCCACGTAAACTTCATCATTGTTCCACATTAGTGCCATTCTTCCCGAGTTGCCTTGTGCCGCCACCTGAGCTAAACCTGAAAACCCAAAGTCCTCCATTATGTTATGATGATCAGTTAGCCTCGCTCCAGTAGTGCAACCACACTGGGTTTGTGGTAATCGAGCATTGATCTAAAAGCTCTCCTAAAGTCAGCATTTCCCGCCCCACGGCAGTTCCAAGATATGAAACTCATACTAATGTTTCTGTTGTTTGAACTCCTCCTCTGATTGAGATGAGAGTTCCCTCTGCTCGATATTCCTTCCTGGTTCATCCAGAAGTTGGCAAACATTGTCGGAACCAGCACCATCGCGTATTGGTATATCCCTGGTGGTCTCTGCTTCTTTATAGATATTGAGTATTTCCTCAAATCAAGCGGGCAACTTAAGATGAACCTTTTTCCTTTTCGTGCTTTGAACACTAGGGTTCTTGGTGATCTTAACACCCCGTGTTCCACCACCCTTTCCGTTGGAAGTTCTTCCTCTTCTTCCTCCTCTTCCCTCTGCGATTGGACTGGTTGGTCTGTTGTATGGGAGGATGAGATACTGCTGGGGTAATGTTTTGGTGATTCTGGATGCCTTGGGTGGGTATCATCGCTGGTGCTTGATTCATCAGCATGCCTTGCATATTCTGAAAAGTAGGAACTGGGTTTAGGGTGGTTGGACGTTTGAAAATAGAGGTGAGCTCGAGTTGAGGAGGTTGTAGGGGTGAGAAGATATCCATGGTTGCTGGTACTGCCATACATAGTGGTTTCATGGTGATGGTACCCCCTGGTATAGGGTTGTGGCATGAGCTATCCATAGGTTGTTCACTATATTTCCCTTGGCTATTCTCAAGCCTTCCGCAACTATTTGAGCTAGATAGCATGAGTCCTCGATGTGGATGATTATGTCCTCCCCGTTGATTTGTAGACTCAAACTCACGATGTGGCCTATTAGACCCTGCTCTAGCTAGCTTTGAGGAACATGATTTGGGGGTAATGGTAGGGTTGTGAACAATGTTGGTGCATGGAGGGTGTGTGGTGTTGTTTGGGGTCGATTGGTCGTGTGGTTGCTCCTTTGGTGTTGATCCCTTACCCGCACATTCCTCTCTGTCCTTACATTCCTTCTTTGGTAATTGTTTGGGAGTCTCGGCATCTTTGGTGTAGTTGTTGATAGTTTCAGTAGGTTTGTTTGAGTTTTTTGTAAGGGGTAAGTGGGGTGTGGGAGTGGAATATAAGAGTTTATTTTGTTTTGGGGTAGTAACCAATGGAGAGTTTAAAGAGCCTTGCTTATTAATGCTCTCAGGCATGTCCATGTCAATTACATTAATGAGGCTATTATCTAGGGACATGGGGGAGATGGTTTGATTTGAGGTTGGGGGGTTGCTATGGAGGTGAAGTGGTTACCTAGGACTATACTGCCCACTTTTTGGGTAGAACTAAGGTTCTTTGTTGCTAGGTTTTGACTTCTAATAGGTAGGTCTAAGGACAAGACTTCATAGTCCATTGATATGGGGTAATGGGAAAGAACATGTTGAGGGTTTCTGGTGTTAGCCTCTCTAAGTTCGTTAGGTTGACTTGTTATGTTGCTAGTTTGTTTGACATGAGTTGATTGAGAGGATTTTTTAGGGTTATGTCTATTGTCCAGGGGGTTTTCATCGTTTTGGACTAGGGTATTACGTCTGAGGCTTTTGTCATAGGGGTAGGTTTATACTGGTTTGGGGCCCTGGTGAGAGTATGCTCTTTACCCTTTGTGTATATTGGATTTTTTGTAGTAGGGGACTCCTTTTGTCCAGTAGTTTTTTTATTTGGAATTGCCACTGCGCTAGTCCTGTCATTAGTTTCAATCCAGCCTGTTTGTTGGTGTTTCTCATTGACGAGATATTGGAGGTTACTGGGTTTCATGGAACTAGTTCTCTCCGGCTCTTGCTTCGTTTTTCTTCTTTGATGAGAGACAATTGTCCAGTTTTCAACTTTTGTGGTGATGGAGTCCATGTCTTGGTAGGTCTTTTGTTAAGACTGTTAGGGTAGTTTTCTCCTAAGGTATCCGTTTTTTTGTTTGGGCACGCTGGTAAGTTGTGACCTAGATGTCCACAGTTGGTGCATAGGACGTTAAAACCTTCATAGGCAATCCTTTGGTAGTGTTTTCCTAGAACAATGTGTGTCTTGAGAGGTTTCTCAATTGGTACTAGGATACAAAGCCTAGCATATTTCCCTCTAAGGGCTGAGGAGGTACAAACGTCGATACAAATGAGTTCTCCTAGTTTGTTCCCTATTTTTTGAAGTATGTCGCATTCATAAAACTCAGTATGAAGCTCAGGCAATCTAGCCCATATGGCAGAGTAGGTTAGGGAAGCTTCCGATGTCACGAACCTAGGTTCCCATTTCCTAACGGTGAGGAATTGGTTTCCTATGAACCAAGGTCCCTCATGGAGAGCTTTATTGTAGTTTTCTTGTTTATTGACTTTTATAAGGTAGTAATCACATCCTAGGTCAATAAGGGAAATAGTCTCACTAGGTTTCCATATTGCTTGTAACTTCCTTTGGAGAAATTGGTATCCAACCCTTTCCCCAAAGACCTTGACGATAAAAGTAGTTTCCCGGTTTATATAGGCGTTCTTTGTCCTCGGAGGTTGTAGGGATGAATACATCGGATTCTTCTTCAAAAAAAGGGTTTTCAGTTTCATCTGAAATTGTTTGGTTATCATTTATGTCATTTTGGACACAAATGTTATTTGAGTAGCTAGTATTTTGAAGGTTGTTATTTAGGATATTAAGGAATATTGGTTTGTCTATGTGGGGATACCTAGGTTCTAAGGGTTGGGTATTGTTCAGTTTTGGCGATATGGTAACACAACTGCTTGATGCTGCAGTTGAGACCTCCATATGGTTGGAGTTGTTCATGGTAGGGATGATTTCATGATTTTGGGGATTGAAGGTAGTACTGTGTATCATGGGGGTCTTAGGATTTGGTGGAGAAGAAGGGTAATAGATGGGATCCTTTTAGAGAGGCAGATGTTTTTTCTCACTCTAACCCATGTCTCTTCTTTAAAGAATTGAGATAAAAATAAACTTCGAATATAAAGGATGTTAGTCTTTCAATCAATGAATATTGTTTAAAATTAAAATATTTTAATAAAGCATACCAACTTGGTTATTTGGTCAAATAAGTTCAATTAAATGTATTTTTATCAATGTAAATCACAACATAAAAGATATAATTAAATCTAAACATTTTCTTGCGAAAACACGTGCAAAACAAAAACATGTATATGAATATTTGTAACTTATTCTTGTCTACAATTTATCAGTGTTCTCAAAATATTTTTACTTCTTTGAAAAATTCTCTTGTGATAAAAGTTAATCGACAATTGTTTACAATGACAAAATTTCAAATGTCCCCAAGCAAACAAAAGTTAAGTCGCAATGTTTTTTTCCATTCTTTGTCCTTTTTAGCTACATAAAAAAATAATAAAAGAGAGAACAAATTGTAAAAGAAAAATATAAGTGATAGCTTGAAGATGCATATTATCACGTCAAGATCTCGTTTTAAGAAATTTTTAGGAATTAGGAGCGCTTTTTATTCAATTGACCTTATCCGACTAGAGTCTACATTAATACTTCTATCTGTCCCAATTTAGATAATATTACTTTTTATTTTTTTAGATTCAAACCTTTTAATTTTAATGACCATATATTTAGAATTAATTTTTTTAATTTTTGGAAATATAATTTATATATTTAAACTTACGTAAAAAATACTATAAGTTAAAATAATTAATAGTTTAAAATATATATATGAAAAAAAAAAATCAGAAATACCTTCGCATAAATTAAGCAAAAACAAAAAAAGAGGTATATCACTAAACGCCCCCTTGAAATCTCCTTAAAATTCACACTCTCAGAGAAATACACTTCGCCGGAGTTGAAACTAAGGTAAGCTTAAAGTACAATTCTTCTTCCTCATTCTTCAATTCTCTCGCAATTAGGTTGGAGATGGAGAAACCCCAGTAAACACTGCTTAGTTTTTTTCTTTTAACGTTTTGTCGGTATATTTTCGATCTTTAATCTGTAGTTTTTTGTTTTATGTGAAAGAAGTCTATTCAAGTTAATTCTCTGTTAACTGTTATTTGTTAGATTAAAGCTCTATGTTTTCGCATAATTAGACGCCGCCTCCCTAATCAGGAAACATTGTTCTAATGGATAGAAGGCTGGTCCCAACCCGTTCATGATTTTTTTTTTGGGGGGAGGGGGTGGGGGTGGGGGGTGTTTTAGGGTTATTATACCTCTTAATTATTCTTTAATAAACTTTAACTGAAGTGTAATTCTTTTTTTTTTTTTTTTTTAACGGTGGTACCCGGGCTAGCTTGCGCGCACCTCGATTGTTCCACTGCATACTTGTTAACTCTACCTATCAAAATCAGCTAGTATTTGAAGACAGTGTAATTTCTTTTGATCAATCACGTAGTGTTTTAATAATGTTTGGACATGTGGATGTTATTGTCACTTAATATTTTGATCAAAAACTACTAAAAAGGATAAACACAGAAAGCGCATGTCGATATAAGACATGCAGTAATGTTGTCCTGTCTGCAGATTTATAAGAAATTAGAAATTTTCTATCTTCCTTCTGAAACTTGTTCCAATGGATTGAAACTAGTGGCGTGTTTTGTTGGACAGGAAGCTGAGAATTTATTTCCTACTCAGGACGTTAGGAGGATTTCTTCCCAGTTATATTGTTTTTTCTGGATTTATGGTATTGCTTGGGTGAGCATTTCCTGGTGGTTGAATCGGATCTTAAATGTTATCTTATTGACGCGGTCATCTTCGAGGTATGATTGAAGAATGAAGCATGCACATTGTATTCTATTCGTGCTGTTAGTGTAGCTGAGTTGATTCTCTAATGTTGCACATTTCTGTGATGACCTGGATTTGTATCATGTAGACATTGATATGCAGGCTCAATTTTTTTTTCTTAGGCATATTTGAAAGTGTTACCATGCCTCGTAAGGTAAATTATGGAGTTGATTATGAGGAAGACTTTTATGACTATGAAGATTACAATTATGACTATGACGATGGATATGATTCTGCAGAGAAAAATGGTGAGTGTCCCTCCAGCCCGTCTCAGTGCTCCACATCTAAAGGCTGCA